TGGCCGGCGGGCCCATCCTCGTGGCCTGCGGCGCTCGCACCAGCCTTTATTTATTTTCTTGTCCTGGGTTAGTTTCAATAACCTCTCCCGTCGCTCAGCCATGTCGCCTGCAAAAAGGAGCAAAACCCGGGTTAGCTGTAAGCGAGCAAAAACAACGAAAATGGAATAAAACAATAAAGGCAGAAGCAAGAAACCTAGCAGATCTACGGCCTACCCGTAAGATTGGCACTCGACGAGCGCCTTAGTGTTGATTGGACGAGCCTCAAATGCCGGGTACCTTTCCTCGTCAAGAATATCATCCCCTTTCCTCGTAACCCACCGGGCAGGGAAGAAGCTGTTGACATACTTGCAAAGGACAACATAGGCCTCCTCATCCTCGGCGCTCATGCTTCCCGCAGGCGTATAATAGTACCCGGTACCATGGTCGTAATGGCCCGAGCACCAATGTATCGGGAACTTGGAAAAGCGCCCGACTGCCGGACAACCCTCAGCATCCACGAGGGGCTCCTCGTCCGCGTCGACCACCGTGGTTTCCGATTCGAACAAGGAGTCCAAGGCAGTTTGGGTGACCGACTACAGAACATACATTTATCCTTGAAGTCCCTTACCGAATCCATATACATCCTGAATAGCCTCTTCGACTGTTTCAGGGATACCCAGCTGTGCCTGCCTCCTCGATACTGACGCTGCAGGTGAAAGACCCTAAAGAAAAGGGGAATCGTCGCCCCGATCCTCAAGAAACGGCACGTCAGCTCGAACGCCCGAAGGAAGGCGATCAAATTAGGGTGAAGCTGAGAAGGGGCCAAGTTCAGATGGCTGAACACCCCGACTTGAAAATCGCTGAAGGGGAGCTTAAGACCGAGAGCCCTGAACACGATCTCATACATTGGGAACCCGTACTCAGTAAACTCCGAGCAGATACGCGCATCAATCGACGACCTCATTACTACAAAATTCTTTTGAAAACCTGGCTGACTGCCGCCATGCTCGACGACAGTATAGGCACGCCGACAGTACGCCGAGGCAATCCCCCGGGGCTCGGTGCCCACCCAGTCCAACGTGGGGTCATCTATGGTGTCAACTAAAGTAACATTCTCCTTAGTACTTGTATCATCAACTTCATTTTGCCTCGAATATTCCGGTTCGTCGGCCATTTACCTGCAAAGCATAGGAAACCGGTGAATTCGAAGAGCAAATCCGCGTGCTCGCCACAGAGACAGGAAGTAGTACACAACAATTCGAACACGGACACCCCAGCTCCGACCACGCATCGGGGACAACAAGGGAGTAGCATGAACGCCTCGGGCGAAACATGAATCACTCGAGCAAGTTCGTGGAATCGCCTGCCCGACACTAGGACACCGCGAGGAGGCTGCCCTACATACCTCCTAAAAAGGATGAACATCCCGACCAGTTCATGGGCATGCCAACCAAACGCATGAATGTCACGAGCAGTATCATGAGTCATATGCCTAAAACTATGAATGTCACGGGCAATATCATGAGTCATATGCCTAAAACTATGAAGGTCACGAGCAATATCGCGAGTTATGTACCTAAACTACGAGTTTACCGGGCACAATCATGAATCTACCGGGCACTACTCCCAGATATGGGTTTCTAACGTAAAAAATAACATCAAAACTACCTACAACGAAGAAAAACAGGAGGAACAAACACTTACTTGGAAGAAAAGAGTACGAGTGACGGCGGTGGAAGGAATCAACGGCAAATGATACGGTGATTTCACGGTGTTGCAACAAACGACGACAGCGGAATCAGGGAAAGAGGGAGGAGCGTGAAGGGGAAAAAACAAATTATGGGCCCAAGGGTCCTATTTATAAGGATGATGTGGAATTTGAAACGTCGCACCGGGGAAACACAAACTTCCCTATCCTCGACACCTACTCCCCTAGGCAATGATGGCCCTAGTTGCTAGGGTGGCGCTACAGTTCCCAAGGATTGCGCCACGTACCCGACGGGCACAACCCATGTATCCCCGCGAGAAACGCCTCGAGCACGCTTCGAAAGACAAAACCCTGGTCCGCGCATCAGATCCCCGTGGTAAAGGCGAGCTGAAGTCAAGTCATAACTCCTGCCCCAGGAGCAACGACTTGGGGGGCTCCTGTTCTGGACTAGGCCCGCCTTGGCCCAAAGCGCAGATAAAGGCCCAGTCCAAGCAAACTCCCCGGGGAATGTGCACAAACGGACCATCACCGACGTGCCCGACCACAGACTGTGGCCACAATGCCCGCCATTGCCCGCGACACGCAGTGTCCCCGACCAAGGGAACTTCAGCTCGAGTCCAACTCGAGCACCCTCCCCGTAGGACAGATTCTGTCCACTCCGACCGTTATAGAATCCTCTAAGCTCCGGAAAGACCGCGTCTTCGTCCCTCCTTATTCTTCGCGGAGCACCACCAGGAAGGGGACCACGTGCGGGGCCCCACTACACACGTAGAACCTGACAGTTCCTTTATTAGGCCAGTTCTGGTCAGCCCAATGAGGGGACCTTAGCCCAGCACTGGGGGCTATAAATACCCTCTGTTCCCAGAGGGTCAGGTATTCATCTTTTGCACTCCTATACACTTTTTACCTGCTCATTCCATCTCTCATTTTAACATCAGAGTGTCTTGTAGGTACCCTCCCCATCTCACTCAAATTCAATTCGAGTCAGCTGTGACGGTTCAAGTCTGATCCGGTAAGATCAGGAAATAATGAAAAATAAATAGTACAAAGAAAATTGTGTTGACAAATTTTATTGAGATGGGTTTATGTGAAAGTAAATCAGTGGTTATTTTTGAAGAAATTAATGGTTAATGGTGAATGATGTTGTTTAGTGAGTTAATTTTTGATAAATTATTAATAAATAAATGAGAGATTATAAATGGATTTAGTGGAATGAAGTTAGTGAAATTTATTATTAATTTTATTTTAATATTAATTTATTATTATATTTTTAATTAATTATTTAATTATTATTAATGAATAATTGAACAAATAATTGTGTGAAAGTTATCGATCTTATTTAGCAAATATTTTAGGGAAGTTATCAACTTAATATATATTTTAGTGGGAGAAATTAAAATTTGATGGAGAAAATTAATTTTTAATAAATTATTAATAAAATAAAAATATAAAATTATTAAAAGAATTTTAATTTTGACTCCAAAAATTGTTTAAAAGACTTAACATTTCTAATATATAATATATAAGATAAGATGATTATTATTAGTAAAATATTTTTTTTATAAAATAAATAAATGCAATTAATTTTTTGAAATTTTATGTAAATATAAATAAACTTCATTAAACTGACATTTTTAAAATCTACTATAAAAAATATTCAATTATTTGTATTAAATATTTAATTAAGTAAATAGTATATATAAACATTTTTTGAATAAATATTTTTTGAATTTTCACTATTTATAATTTAATATTTATGAATAATTGTGATACACTGATTTTATAAAAAAATTTATATTGAAAATGCATAGTAATTAATCTCTTATTTATAACTATTTCGAAAATTTGAACAAACAATATACAGAAGTAGAGATAAAATGGTTTGGTTTACATTGGTCTATAATCAAAAAAATATTCATATTGAAAATATCAGTTTAATTTGGTTTGATTTTTAATATTTTTAAAAAATGCAATCAAATCAAATTAATCGATTTGATTTAATTTATTTTTGTTGATCGATTTATTATATTTTTTTAAATATTATATTTATCTATGTATTTTTCAGTGCATTTTAATATTATTTATTATGTGCTCTTTTTTTCAAAAAACTTACATGTTATTCTTAATTCATACGAAAGTGACACGATTCCTATTGTATCATGAAATAAATTTATTATCAAATATAAAAATTGACACTAAACATCGAAAGATTGAAAAGATATTTAAAAGCTTAACAAAAAAAATACAAAAAATTAATTCTATACACATAAATTAACATTTTCACACGTCAAAACTATTTTGTATTAAGACTATAAGGAATTTCACTAAAGAAGAGAAAATGAAAAATGTAATAAAAAAGATGAGACCAAGAAAAAGTACTTGAACACAAAAAAGTCAATTATAATATATGAGAACAATAGTAAAGAGCAACAATAATGGTGAGAGCGAGACTAACAATTTGATGAGAGCAAATTTTTGTGATTGATGATTTCTACACTATATATTTGGAGTTTGATTATAGTTACGTGTTTGGTTGAAAGGAAGAAAGCTTAAACAAAAATAAAGAATGATTACATCGATAAAAAAAATAGACTTAATGATGATAGAATAAAAAATTTAAAATATAATTATAATTATCGATTTGGTTCATCAATTTACCGATTTTTAAAAATTAAAATTGATAATCAAATCAAACCACTTTAATTTTCATTAATTCGATTCGGTTTTAAAAACGAACAAAAAAAATCAACCAATTTCTTTTGATTTGATTTAATTTAATTTGTCTGTTTAATTGATTTTTTTATCCGCATACCATCTTCCTATCTTATATGAAAGTTGTTTGGGAAAAGAAACTTAATCCGTAATAATAGAGTTTGCTACTTGAATATATTTTACCAAAACAACAAATCATAATTCCCAAATAGGATAGGATTTTAAAAATAAATACCCTGATTTTTTTTCTTGATCCTATTTCCCAATTAGGAGAGGATTAACCAGACCTTGTACAGTATTAATAAATAATAACAGGTCAATTCTGAAACAACTAATTATTTGGCGCGTTTATCTCGCTTTTGTCCAATTCTGTTAAACTTGTTATATTTTATTAAACGCCGTCGTTCCCTCCAGATTCAACGCATTCTGGAAAATCAATATCAATAATTTCCAAGAAAATAAAAACTCATTCCAATTTTCCTCCAACCAATCAACCAAACATCATTTATTTCTTTATTTAATAATTTCTCCTCATTTTCCTTCCAAGATCCATTCCGTTATCAAATCCCATCTTCTAGGGTTTCGATTTCTCTTCCCGTTATGGACCTTCCTCTGTACCGGAAGGGTTTCAATCTCAAATTCTATCGGAGAAACAAAAAACGACTTCTCCTAATCGCCGTTTTAGGTGCTTCCGGTTACGGTGCTTATAAAGCCTATCATTCACCGTATGTAGTTCAGAAGAGGAACCGTCTCATGAAGCTCGTTAGAGCCTTCGTTTCTCTCGCTGAGCTCGTTTCCAATTCCGCAGAAACCGTTTCAATTGTTTCCAACGATTTGAACCGGTTCCTCACTTCCGAATCTGACGAAATTCCTAATAGCTTGAAGCAGTTATCGAAAATTGCTGCGTCGAACGAGTTTTCGATAATGGTTTCTAGGGTTTCGCAGTCTTTGACACAGGGAATTTTGGTTGGGTATAGTAATTGTAATAAAAACTCGGAAATTGGTGTGGATTATTCGAATTTGAGTGTTTCTGATAGGGTGATGGAGAGGCTTTTCTCTAACGCTGGAACTGGTTTTGTTTCGGTTGTGGTTGGGAGTTTTGCTAAGAATTTGGTTTTGGGTTTTTACGCTAATGAAAGTGGTGATGGGAGAGTTGATTCGGGTTCTGGACGATCGGATGGTGTTCCGCGATGGGTGAGTGTGCTTTGTGATGACAAGTGTGGGAAGGTGATAGGGGATTGTGTGCAGACTTTTGTGAGTACTGCTGTTGCTGTTTTTCTTGATAAGACAATGGATGTTAATACGTATGATGAAGTGTTTGCTGGTTTGACTAATCCGAAACATCACGAGAAGGTGAAGGGGGTTTTGGTTTCTCTGTGTAATGGTGCTGTTGAGACTTTTGTTAGAACATCTCATCAGGTTTTGACAAATCCGAATGTTAAAAGTTCACCAAGGGAAAATGGGGGTTTGAAACCGGAGGCCTATGTTCAGAAAATCAGAATTGGAAGCTCTGTTAGTGGAGTTGGGGATTCTGGGTGGTTTGAACAGATTAAATCAACCATGTCTGTGCCGGCTAACCAGAGGTTTGTGCTTGACGTCACGGGAAGAGTGACATTTGAAACTGCTAGGTCATTTGTGGAGTTCTTGATATGGAGAATATCAGATGGTTTTAAAAGGAGTGTTAATAAGGTTCATGATGAGGTTTTAGACAAAGGAATGCAGGTTGTTAGATATGTAGGAGCTAAGTCGTCAGTTATTCTAACCTTATGTCTTGCTTTATATCTGCATATTTTGGGTGGTAGTAGGATTCTATTACATGCTTAGCATGATCATCATCCTAAACTCTTGTAATGCAGTTGGAATATAATTTGCAGCTAGATATGATCTTTACACTATTGATGTTTCAAATGATTAGTAATTAAAATATCATTGTGATATTTAAAGTAGGGGTGGCAAAACGGGCCGTGGCCCGCCGGACCGGACCGCGCACCCGCCAAAAAATGGCGGGTTGGGTTGGGATTTTGGGTCCGCCGTCCACTAAAACCCGCCCCGCTAAAGACCGCAACCCGCCAATGCCCGCTCCGCCAAAACCCGCCGCTCCGCCAAAACCTGCCGCACCTATTCTTTTAGTTTGTCTCACCTTAAGTCCGCCCTTTTTTTTAGTTAATTATAGTAATTACAATTCTTGATGGTTTTATTTTATACATTAATTTGTGAATTTATGTATAAGATGTTTTATAAAAAAATATTCTAAAATATAAGTGATAAATCTAATTTAAATGAAAAAAAAAAACCTATTAATCTATTAAAAAAATGAAAAAATAAAAATAAAAAGTAGGTAGGCAAGGCTGCCACCTGCCAACCCGCCACCTTGGCGGAGCGAGCTAGACTTTTATGCCCATTTCCACTTGGCGGACTTGCCCGCCCCGCTCTTTTTTTTGGCGGGCTTAAGGCATGGCGGGGCGGGACAGACGGTCCGTTTTGTCACCCCTAATTTAAAGTATGTTAATCTAGATTGTGGATGCCCTATTGTCTAAGAGTCACACTGTTGTCACATTCAAGAAATAGCTCCACTGGATAGATTTAAATTCAATTTGATCAAGTTGCAGTTTGAGCCATAGGATTTTGGTCACATTGCTAATTTTTTTACTACAGTGGTCGACTTTTATGTGAAGAAATTTGAAACTGTTTGACAGTGTTTTTCTTCGTCTTGTCTATAAATTTGGATTATGTAGCAGATTTGTGCAACTTCCATCTGGAACTCATGGCTGGGAATGCATCTAAGCTTGAGATTCTTGGTGTATTTAGGTGAGTTTAACTTGTCATATGGCTAACTACTGAGCATAAATCTGTATCTCTCTCTGTTGAGAATCCCTAATCTTTATGCACTGAGAATTTGGTTTTGTCAATAATTAAGGTACCTTGATGTACTCAATGATAAGATATCACAACCTGATACTACATTCTATACATCATCGTTAATATATATTATTCTCAATAAGTATATTACTGTTTCATGCTTTCTTTATGGTGCAGTGGCATGTTGTAACATTTTTGTATTTTTAGTAATTAGACTTATGTTTTTTTAATAATTAGTGATTACTGTATTTGGACCTTTAATCTGACCCAATAGGTAGAACATACTCTATTTAGTTAGATTACTGGTTGTACATTTTACTCTATTGAATAATACTCCAAAATATTGGTTGTACATTTTACTCTATTGAATAATACTCCAAAATATTTGTCCACGCGATAACAGAGCCTATACTTGATATGTTATGTTGATGGATTGTCTGCATTGTCTACACCCCAGTCCCATTTGGCATAAGTATGAAGGGCTGCGTTGGAAACCCTGTCTTAATTGCAATCCGCCTCTAGCCATCTTAATTGTTACAAATTTGAGTTGTCTTAAATGTAGCATCCAACACCGTTGTGCTACGGTTTAGTCCCACACTTTCTAGAGACTTGGTAGTCTGCAGCTTGTAAGTTGAATTTGCGGGGTTGATTTAGGCGAAAACCCAGTTTCTTAGATATCTATGAAGAATAGGTTGACAATTCATCATCATGGGTTGTTTTCTGTATGATCACTTCTGTTGAAACAGTGATACACTAAATGAGTAACTAACCTTTTAAATGCGAGTGCTTTCCCTGTATTACCTCAGTATTCTCAACTGCTGTACACTTAAAAGTGGAACTGGAATAGATGCATTTTAAAAATCTGTATTTGAGAATGATTCTAGTACAGGGGAATACAGTTTAAGAATTAAAATTTTGTTAAGCTCACTCTATTCAGTTGAAGGACTTCTCCGTTTAATCACTTCTGTTGAAGCAGTGATGTACTTCATGATGAGTAATGAAATCTTAAAATCAAACACTTTTTCATATAGAGCCTTAGCTTTTCTCACTGCTATACACTTAAAAATGGATCAGATGCCTTCTATTTATGGCAATGATTCCAGCACCATGCCAGTAAAGCTTGAAGTTTTCATTAATGCGACTCTTTTCAATTGAATAAAATGTTGCTTTTACTCTGCATCTCTGGAACTTTTGGGTGCCACTATTTGACAATTGTCATACTAACTGGAGCATTATAATTTGGTTCTTTCCTTTGAAATTGTCCAAGGCTCCGAGCAGTGGTTGTGTTCTCTTGTTCAAGTATTCTTTTTCCTACCGATGAGCTCTAATTAGAGTTAACAGTTAAAATGCTAGAGTTTGTCTTTTCATAGTCTTGTAACTTGCTTGCTGATAGTTTAGTTAGTAGCAGTTGTGGTCCTCTGCTAGTTGGTTGGTTGGTTCACTTGGTTGCATGTTTTCTTTGTTACACAAGCCTTGATGCTATGCTATAAAATGTGTATATATGCACGCCTAATTTTTCACTTTCCACTTCAAATAGAAGTGTCCAAACACTTAAAAAAAAAATACGTTTTGGATTTTAAAGTCTGAAGAGTAATTTTTAAAATTAAAATTCAAGGAGTTTCTAAGAAGATTGAGAAGTAGAAAAATAATTTACCTAATTACATAGGACTTGATAACATTAATAAATTAGAGCAAGCACATAACTACATTTGTTAGCATATGTTCACCTAACTTCACAATACCCTCTAAACGTTACATGGTATTTGGCTTTTTTAGTATCGTTCACACAATAGCCAACATTCACATGCAAACCAACTATAATTTTTGTGCTCCTCGGACCCACAAAATATACCCATAACGGATTATTAGAAAACTGATGGTAAAATATCCATAATGGATTATTTGAAAACTGATTGTAAAATGAATGAAACTGACAATATTTTCTATTATTGTGAAAGAATAGAGGATACAATGTATTTATACTAGCTCAGAGTCACAATTCTTATATTAATAAGCTGACTAATTTCCTAAGGGAAATTAACATGTCATCCCATATATTATACATGACACTTTCAGTTTTGGCACATTTACGAAACTGTTTCGGTAATATATCAGTTTTTTTAAATTTTTGGTGCAGTATCAAAAATTTCATGAAAATATTGAAAATTTTGTCGAATTTCCAATTTTTTATCGTGTCATATGAACTTAATCGAAAATTTGAAATTTCTGGTGTATTCATTCTTATAAGAAATCGGAAATTTGAAATTTCCTTTGTGTGGAAAAAACTAAAAATTTAAAAATTTTGGTAGTATTAGAATTTTTTTTTGAAACTTTTACTTGAATAAAATACACAGTGAAATAGCGAATCGACTGAATATATAAATAGAATAAATGTCATACATATATGCTTTAAAAAAAACTACAATCACTTCCTAGACAATTTTTCTCAATGCATTCCCATGCTTTTGCATCATTAGAACTAGGGGTGGCAAAACACGTCAGACCCGCTGGACCGGCCCGTTTAACCCACCATTTTTGACGGATTGGGTTAAGGTTTTTGGCTCGGTATCTTAAGATGACCCTCCCCGCCTAACCCACTTAAATAAGCGGGTCGAGGCGGGGCGGAGTAGATTTTGCCCGCAGGCTTTTTGTTAAAACTTTTTTATTTTTTGGTTAGAATTAAAATAACTTTAACTATCAAAACAACACTCTTCTCTCAAGATTTTGTTGATTGGATTGCATTCTAAATTATTATACAGACAAATTGAATTATATATGTATGATTCTTTCTATAACTTTCTAATACATAAGTTGGTTGGAAAAACTTAAATAAAAGAACAATTATATGACATGAAGAATTATTAAGTTGTCAATACAATATCTCACTTGTTTTCTTTAGAAACAGATGTTGATTTAAGAAAAGAAATGATTTGATTATTGTATACTAATGACAAATTTATGATATAACTATTAAGGAATCAATCAATATAAGAGTCTATATGATATAAATAGTGAAAAAGTCAGATGTTATATTTTATGTCATACTATTTTATGCACTGTAATATTTTATGCATTGTAGTTGTTATCATTATTTGTCTTGTGCAAATTATCAACTTGGTTCTTTTAGCATTTAGTTTTTAAATATGATTATGATGATATGTGTTATTTATTTATTTATTTTGATATTTTTTATTGTGTTTGAGTCTATTTTGTTATGTTTTCTTGTAATTGGTCTTTATTTATTTTATTTTTGAACTGTTTGCACTTAAGATATGTTGAAGTTCTATTATGCGTTGTTATAAAATATCTTTTGTCTGCCTCTTTGGTAACGATTAATTTTTTTTAAATAAATTATGTAATAAATTAAGCTGTAAATAAAAAAACAAAAAAATTGGCGGGCCGGCCCGCCAACCCACCAACTCGTTAGTAAACGGGGAAGACTTGACTTTTGAGCTCGGACGCCTAAGTTGACCCGCCCCGCTTTTGGTCAGACTTAAACAGGGTGGACCTAAACGGGGCGGACCGCCCACTTTGCCACCCCTAATTAGAACAATTTTCCCTCCAACAAGCAGTGACGGAAGGTGGTGGACAATTAGGTTTCAACTTTAGCTGAACCCAATGATTATAGTTGACAAAACCAACAATAATGATTGTATGTCGACTCGTGTATGGAGGTAGAGATATAAGAAGTGGAAAAAATGTTACGTTAAGTCTCATGGAAATGGAAACAAATATGACTCTGTATTTAGAAGCAATAGGGTAACCCATATTAGGAATCGACATCCATTTATCCCCACCATGCTCTCCTAAGTGTTTTACTTGTAACGGAGTCCTAACAATAGAGACAATGTCATAAAACAACTTGGAAAACAAGTCAGTGTGTTGATGGAGTTGAGTATCCAACTGCTTCCGAACCGAATAACATGCATCTTTCCCCATCCTAATAAAGATGAAATAAAACGGAA